TTTTCCTTTAAAGCAGTATTAGGCCCAATCCCCCCTCCCCCCAAGCTTACATATGGTGGCTGCCTTGGTTTTATTCTTTTTTTTTTAGTCCCTTTATTTTCACCTGGTGATCAGATCAGTAACACACTTTCTGTGTTAAGGTGGCTCCACTCTATGGAGGAGCCAGGGAGCAACCCTTGGACAGCAGCATCCCCAATATGGGGAGAGGGTAATGTTAGATGGACTAGCAGATTTAGATAGACTTGCCAAGCAAATTGAGACTGAACTCCAGCTACACTTTTTAAGCAGTTACAGCAACAGTTTATTTTTCTTTTAGGATAAAGGTTTTTACATAAATGAATAAAAGCTGATAATTGTAAAAACCCCTGTCAGTATTAAATGGTTTGTCCCAACCCTCTAATTGCCACTTTTGCTGGACAGTTTGGTCTGTTACAGGAAATTGACAAATAACAGACTTACTGGCAGGATCACCAGGTAAAAATAAAGGAAAAAACGAATGCCGTTACCACACCTAAGGATTGGCGAGATGCAATGGAATACATTTTTGTTTTCTAGTTTAATACCACTTTAAGTATGACACTCAGTTCAAACCAGACAAGTCTGGTGCTTGACGCCACAAATCCCCACTCACATCAATTCGCTACACCAGTTGGCACATTCCCAAGTACTGTTCCCATATTTACCAAAAAGAATACAGAAGGGGGGTTAAAAAAACACACCAGCAATCATTTTACATTCCCACAAATGACATTCGTTCCTTTGATGATTAAAATAGAAAGCATCTAAGCCTCCCCTGCCCTAAAAATGAAAGGTTGTTTTTACAAGATAGGAACAAGAACATTTAGCAGAAAACATAGTCATTATTACAGTAATGTCAGCCTGTCATTGCAATGTATAGTTTACAAGCAGCAGTCATATAAGCAGTGATCAGAGCGCAATATTGTCGCACAATGGCGGTACACACGTGCGCCACATTCTTCAGCAGGTGACAACGCCTGGCGCAGCACACCTGTAAGGAAAGCGGGTTAATAAGAAAGGCCACAGACATACGTGGAGAATGTTTAATGACGGATAAAAGTCATTTTGCATTGTGCATAGGGAGATCGGAGCCGTGTGTCTCCCCAGATCACGGGCGGCGGAGCTTTGACACATTTCCGTGAGGTTTCAGCATGGACAGCTTTGAAATTGCCCTATTTATCAAAGTCAGAATATAATCCAAGCGTCCAGAGGAGGCTGGGGAAGTAAATCCCTGAATCAGCTGGGTAACCTTCCAATTTGCACGAGTACTGCTAAATATTTATCTGGAGTGGGTTGGCTGGTACTGGGGGAGCAGAACAGGCCATCAATAATCGTCATACACACCAGTGGGGAAAGAATCAGCAGCTGAATATGTATTCGAGCCGGCTGGAAGACACAGACTAGCTCACTATTGGCAGCTCAGTGGCCTAGGTTCAAAAAATGAAATAGAGAAACAAAAATTACAAACAAATAAATAAATAAATTAAAACCATTCTGCAGTATTGACAGGATGACACCTTGTAGAAGCAAATTAAAATTGCTGGAATAAATGAACAAAGGGAACACCAACAATAATAAAGAATAATAAATGAAAGAGTTATAATAGTTAGGAAATGTTCTCTAATGTATATTTCACAAACGGACGTCATTATGCTAGTCCTGAGAAATAGACAAATAACGACACATTGGAAACAACAGGAAAGTATGATCAGAACACGAGACGTAGCATCCTGGGCGTAGGAGGATTTATCACCTATATACAATAATATACAATGGCACAAACAACATCATGAATACTGAGAGGGCATAGGGACGATAGCCAACATACAATGGCATAGGCTATATTAATAATTCTGAGTATAGAGGGTATGGAGATTTACAGGGGAGAGAGAGAGAGGAGAGAGAGAGAGAGAGAGAGAGAGAGAGAGAGAGAGAGAGAGAGAGAGAGAGAGAGAGAGAGAGAGAGAGAGAGAGAGAGAGAGAGAGAGAGAGAGAGAGAGAGAGAGAGATTCACATAAGCCCATGAAGTCTACACAGGCTCCCTTTCTCTCTCCCTATATATATTTAAACCTGTGGCAAACTTTTATATATATATATATATATATATATACACACAAAGCCCCTGCTGCAAGTGGCAAAAGGGGGTTATTTACTTTACCAAATCTGGAGAGTGCAAAATCTGGTGCAATTCTGCATAGAAACCAATCAGCTTCCAAGTTTTATTGCAAAAGCTTAATTGTAAAACTGAAAGTAGAAGCTGATTGGTTACCACGCACAGCTGCATCAGATTCTGAGTGATCCAATTGTAGTAAATCTGCCCCAAAACCTGAACATGATATATCTATCTATCTACAAAATCCCATACTGAAAATGAAAAGCTCGGCACAGGAGAGAGAGAGATGATCACATAAACTCATGCTGAAAATGACAAGGTCTGCACAGTCTCTCTCTCTCCTTTTTTTTTTTAACAAAAGCCAATGCTGAAAATGAAAAGTTTGGCAGTGGAGAGAAGTCTACACAAGCTCCCCTTCTCTCTCCCTAAATATATATATGTAGCCTGTGGCAAACTTTTATATCTATGTGTGTGTGTGTGTAGCTTCACCCAAGCCCATGCTGAAAATAAAAGTCTGGCTATAAGTATCTGTAAATATATATATATATATATATATATAGTCAAACGTGACAAAGTCTACACAGGCTCCCTTTCTCTTTCTCTCTCTCTCTATATATGTATTTATACACATGCTGTGTATATATGTAGCTATATAGGAACATGCACATGACAAAGTCTGCACAGGCTTGCTCTCTCTCTAATAGATAGATAGATAGATAGATAGATAGATAGATAGATAGATAGATAGATAGATGTGTATATATATATATATATATATATATATAGAGTCACCCAAGACCTTGCAGAAAATGACAAAGTATCGCAGCCTGCACACCAGGCAGTATATCAAGCTCACTTGTACAGCATCAAAAAGACAAAACGCAGCCTTTGCTGAATAATTTGCAGGCTTTCTATTTATGAGACAAATGCCTAATTTGCACTTCAGTATTGGTGCTATCAGTACAGGCCTCCCAAGATTATATCTCAATGTGAACAATACTTTGATGTGCCATCTCTCTATTCTGCAGCCATAGCCCACTCCATGACGTCAGCCTTCCATCCTTCCAGCACACTTTCTCCCTCTACCTGTCAAGTTTGGCCCGGGTTGCTTGCAAAGTCGCAGACATTTCAGGGTGACTTGGGCGCAGTGCTATAGATGCACAATAGCAGAGGACCAGTAAGAGCTCCAACACAAACGTGTAGACACCCATATATTTTCTAATGGTAAAAAAAAAAATAGAAAAAGTCAGCTTGTAGATTGAACAGCAGCTGACAGGGAGGAAAACCATTGCCAATAAGTCGTCAGATTGAAAATCCTTCCTTTCCGGGTGTTATTTTTAAAGATCCAGCGTTATTAATACGTTGAGAAAGGGCTCCCTTGGCAGTATGTGTTCTAACAGATCTGTCTCACATTCTATAAAACATTAATGCGCCCAAAGCTGTTACAGAGATCTGCACCAGGAGCCAGAAAGCATAGGGGAAGATTTTTACCTTCAAAGGAGCTCTATTATGGAAGCGATTTTTTTTTTAAATTAAAAATTGTGCGTGTGTGCTGGATGGGAACAAGGGAATGCACAGATCTCCCCTTCTCCATCCTGCCAGCCGCTGCACAATGAGACCTATGGCATACATAGTTCTACCACCCAGTGAGAAAAACCTCGGGTAAGATATCTATATTAATAGTTTGGGAATACCCTTTACACTGAGAGAGGAGAGCAGGAAATAATACGATTGCTCAAATAGGTAGCAAAAGAAATAGGGTCATATTAAGAAGCACATTGTTAGCTTGTGAAAAGCCTTTTCTCAACCATTCACATCGTTCCCATAACTGTATCCATTACACTCGCCTTCTTTTCCCTACAATAGCACTCATATGTCGCATTAAAACCCACAAACACGCACAAAAAAAGTCAAAACAGCGACAAAATCCAAGAATCACACAATCAGCGCAATCCAAGAGAAATAGCAAATCTCTATCTGTGGCCCTATAAATAAAATACTTATAGATAACAAAGGTTTTTTTTTTTCTTTAATCTAACTTTGCAAACTAGAATAAAATGACATAACCCCATGAAATAAACGCCCAATAATGACATAAACCCCCAATCATCTAATATTACATAAACCCATTAAATTTATCATTGTATTTTTTTTTTTGGGGGGGGGGGGGGGGTGACCGTCCAGCAATAAACCACCATCTTTTGCTAAAGTCTTTTATTTTTGTTTTAAATTCTCACTTCAATTTTAATTCTTGAAGAACATAAGCTTGGACAACATATATCGCACTCATTATAAGAAGCAAAGGGTTATATCAAAAAATTATTAGTAGAGAATTACAGGAACCCTGGTTTGGAACCAGAAAAAAATACAAAACAGATATAGATACATAGACACAGGACGAGTTTTTTGTTTTTTTTTTTGTTTTGTTTTTTTTTGTTTTTTTATAATTATTTGGAATTGTTATTTTCCCCCTAATTTTTTATGCCTTGCTTTCTTTATGCGCATACAATGTTTTCAATTTTACAAAAAAAAAAAAATGAAAATAAAGACTAATATATTACAAAATCAACATCAAATGTTCGTGGTGCTTATGTGCATGTGTACCTACACACAGGATTTATCACAAGTCTGTATTTTTTGTCGCCTGTACATAATAAATCCATCTCAGTCCACAGCGCATCCATTAGGGTTCTTGTCTGCATATTTTAATCATAGGTCCCCTTGGTCCTGTTTTTTTTTTTGTGTTCCCCAAAAACACTCGGAGTTCATTATTGTTCACATCCTAAGGAGTTTTGTCTGTATTGTGTCTACGTCCACACCATGGTCGATCGCACAGTTCTGTCGCAGGGATTGTCTCTCTGGCTGTTTTCTAGGAACACTGGATGGACATATAAGGCCAGTTGAAGCTACTTCCAGATAATAACATATCTCTGATGAGGGTCTCTATAGGGGTTTTACCTACCAAGCGGACGAAGAAGAGCTGTTCAATGACTGAGGAGGATACAGTACGCAGGGAAGGCAGCCTCAGAAGAAGTTTGCCGAACCTGCTCGGTTGGTTGGGGTACTGGCTCCTGACATACTCCTCCAGGGCGCATTGGGACTTTTCCTGTAGACTCTCAATGTGAGCAGCATCTGAAAGGCCACAGGCGTCTGTATAGGAGCCCACCATGGAGGAGGAGAGAGACAGGGCACACAGTTAGTATGGTACAAGGACTTTGTAGTCACATCATGAAAAAAAATAAAATCACAAGAAATCAAGTTTAAGGACTAAGGTACTAAAGAAGTCATTTTCACACTGGTCAGGCCAATATGTGTTAATTTTAATTGCTGACAAAAAAAAAGAATAACAAAAAACAACACATAAATTAAAATAAAAGAGCAAAAAAAAAACAAAAAACAAACTCTGGACCTGATACAATAAATGACACAGCAGTTCATAAGCATATATACCAGTTCTCCAAAATCATAAATTGACTACAGCAAAAAATAAAAGAAAAACTCTGGACCTGACGGCATACAAAAATTGCCCTTTTAGTAAATCAAATCTAAATATTTGCAGATGGATCTTGGCCTAAGAAGTGATTGTATTTTACTATATTACGTACAATAAATGGCCCACCAGTTTATAAGTATATATGCCAGTTCTCCAAGATCACAGTAATTGACTGTAATAAATAAAATAAAATAAAACTCTGGACCTGACTGCATGTAAAAATTGCTCTTTTAGTAAATGTGATCTAAAGATTTGCAGATGAATCTTGGCTTAAGAAGTGGTTTTATTGTACTATACAACAAATGATACACCAGTTCATAAGCATATATATCCCAGTTCTCCAAGTTCACAATCATTGACTATCAGAAAAGTAAAAAAAAAAATCTGGACCTGACTGCATGGGAAATTTGCTCTTTTAGTAAATCAGATCTAAATATTTAGCAGATGGATGTTGGCTTAAGGAGTGCTTTTAATTTACTATACAACGTACAATGAGTGACCCTCCAGTTCATAAGTATATATGTTAGTTCTCCAAGATCACATTCATTGACTATAATAAAAGAAACAACTCTGGACCTGACATGTGAAAAATACTTCTTTTTTAGTAAATCAGATCTAAATATTTGCAGATTGATGTTTGCTTAAGGAGTGATTTTATTTTACTATATAATGTGCAATAGGGTGCAGAGGGTGATACACCAGTTCATAAGTATATATGCCAGTTCTCCAAGTTCACAGTCATAGAGTATAATAAATAAAGAATCAGAATAATGCAGTGTGATGTACTCCCTAGACACCAGAAGCACTCAGTCACTCAGACACTCATAAACCAGCGACCAGTCCTATTCATTAGTCCTCCCCCTCCCCCCTCTTTGCCCAATAGTACTAGTCCTATGCAGCCAGTTCTGTAGCCCAAAGACAGCACTCTGGGTTTGTTTTGCTCTCTTAAGATGATATAGAGGACATCTTAGTTGAAGGTAAATGTAGGCAGAAGCTTGAGGCACCAACTGCACCCCCTTCACCCAGTTTGCCAGCATGTATTTCATGCTGAATTTGGAAATCATGAAATGTTTATGGCTATAAAATACACCACGTGATCCCCTTAAATCAATCAACCCTCTCTGCAGGTTTCACAGCTACATGGAGGCATAAAATCCACACTTCTCTATAGGATCAAGAGCTTGGATGAGGAACCCTACATCTGACACTTTCTAGTAAAATGATATAATAAAGAAGGGTCTGTCATAAAGGGAATGGTGCCACGTAGCTGTGGCCAGGAACCCTCCACAGCCCAGCAGTTCTAGCCATGCTATGCACAGACCCATGCCCTCTCCCTCCCATACCCCAGCTATATCTGACCTCTGGAAATCAGGACTATAAAAGCACCTATAAAGCTTCACCTAATAATTGCCAATGACTTCCAGAAGCAAAAGGCTTGCTGCAAGAGGCCTGAGTAGTATGCCTCCCTCAGCAAGTCGATATTTTAAAATAAATTAAAATAAATCGAGCCAAGAAACTGTGACAAATTGGTTTCAAAGAGTGTGAACTGGAAAAAAAAAGTTAGGTCTGATGTAAGCTATACAATTCTCTGCAAAGAGCGAATAGCACGAGACACATTCCAATAACAGGCAAAGTAAATAAATACAACTCATCATAAAAACTTCACAATCGATAAAGGTTAGTCTGGTGTTATCTTAAAAAAAAGAACAAGGGATACAAAAAAATGATGAAAAAGATGATCTCGGTTGGTTATTGCTAAAGCACGGGATGAAAAGATTTGATGTAATTAAATTTATTTTTGGCAGATCACTCCCTAAATAATTATTTTTTAGCCCAAGGCTAGAAATGCAAATAAAACAAATGACGATTCAGAACCTCTAATCAGTCTTCAGATGTATGTAATGATCCAGACGTGTTTTGTAGTGTTGATGTAATGTATGCATGTATATTTTATAGGAGAGATTGCTGAGGCCTGAGTCTGCTCTATAGCACACATCCACTCCCTGAACACTGCACTGGGAGAGCTAGTCCCTACAGCTAGCCTACCCTCTGCATGGCTCACAGGCTGCCTGCTCAGCTATCAGCCTGATAGCACACTTGGAATATTACATTGAATTCATCTGTATAGCCATTTAAGCTGATCATACATTCTTGTTCAATTTCCTTTAGATATAGTGCAAGGACCTGTCTGACTGCATACAAATTGAAAGTGTTTAGGTTTGACCTCATTTTATATGGCTTTTGGTAAAATTGTACAATAAAATTGTATAATGTATGGCCAGCCTTAGATCCTAACGTGTATTAAGAATACAGAGTGGTGTTATCGTGATCAGAGTCCTACATTAGCATCATAAGGCACTTGTGTTTTTTGCAGAGCTGGAAATGAATACATAGCGTATTCATGACAATGCCTGACTTTTTATGTGTCCTATAGTTCCCAGAAACTTTACACCCAGTGCAAACAGTTATGTCAATAAATTGTGTAATCAGGTAGACAGCATGGGGGGTGAGATAGGCAGGAGGCAGGATTGATATATCTAAGAGAAAGCCTTCATCTCTTATGAAATTCCTACTTTACAAAATCATAACAACACAGCTAACTGACGTCTTATTTGTAGCAACTGCCACTAACTTGTTTATTTCCCTTTATTCTGATACAGTAAAATATAACAAGTTAAAAAAAAGATCTATTTTATCTGATTTGTTATATGGCAGTTTTCTTTCTCTCCCTCTCCTCCAGCCCTATACGCAGCATGGGGGCAGAAAGAGTTAAGTAATATGTGAGCTCCATAAATTAATAACGTTTAAAGGGGAAACACGGGTCATGACCTAACCCCTGGATGGAGTCCAATGTACAAAAGGTTGAAACTACTTTCCGGAGACTCCATGTGAAAACCACAAACAGGGAGCTCAGTGCCAGCTTTACATAGTTAGACCCTACTAAAGTCGTTTTTAAATTATGCTTTAAAATGCTGTTTTCATCACTTGAGCCTGCTGGATGAGGGCTGGAGGGGGAGGGGAATCTCTCAGTAAATTCCCAATCGACTAGCAATCAAAACAAGTTTGCTGTAAAGTTGTAGTGTGCATGAGTGGGGGGAGGAGAATTTTCAACATAGGGGGAAAAAAAATGCAACGAGGATTGACTGGTAAATCCAAGTTCAATTATTCAAGAGCATAAAGCACCCAATCCTTGTAAATCTGGCATCTTCGTGATTGAGCTGAATGGTGACAGGAAGAAATGCCCCTGTTTTCATCTTCCACATAAAATGACATTGGAGCTGATTTACTAAAGTAGTGCTTTTTATGGCGCTGGGCGTTAAGAGGACCTGTCCTTGTTACAAACCCCCACTTAGTTTCAAGGGCGTTTCAAGTAGCAGAACATTTTGTGACATAACAGGCACTGGTGGCTAGCTTAAAAATGACATATTTCTATTTTAGACCCTATATCCCACCAGCCACAGATATTCTTACCAAAAGGCATTTCAAGTAACAGACATTTTAGTGACATAACAGGCAATGGTGGCTAGCTTAGAAATGACATATTTCTATTTCAGACCATATATCCCACCAGCCACAGGTATTCTTAACAAAAGACATTTCAAGTAACAGAAATGTTAGTGCAATAACAAGCACTGGTTCAATTGGCTAGCTGAAAATAGCATATTTTGCTATTCAGACCCCTGTCCTGCTGCTAGTCACAGATATTTATGTCAAAGAGGGGCATTTAAAAAAAAGAGACATTTTAGAGAAACAGCAGGAACAGGTTCGCTTGGCTAGCTTAAAAATGATATATTTACATTTCAGACTCCATATCCTACTGGCCAAGATATTCTTAACAAAAAAAGGCATTTAAAGTGACAGAAATGTTAGTGCAATAACAAGCACATGTTCGCCTGGCTAGCTTAAAATGACATATTTTGTAATGCAGATTTCATGCTAGTCAGAGGTATTAATATCAAAGAGGGGCATTTTAAATAATATACATTTTAATGAAACAGCAGGAACAGGTAGGCTTGGCTAGCTTACATATGACATATTTTGTATTTCAGACCCCACGTCCTATTAGTCAGAGGTAATCTTAGCAAAAAGGAACATTTAAAGTATAATTTTTAGTGAAACAGAATGCATAGGTAGCCTTGGCTAGCTTAATAATTGACATTAAAAAAAAATTAATACCCGTGTCCTATTAGTCAGAGGTAGTCTTAGCAATGAGGGACATTTAAAGTATAATCTGTAGTGAAACAGAAGCATAGGCAGCCTTGGCTAGCTTAAAATGGACTTTTTTTTTAAGATTTTAGACCTCCTGTCCTATTAGTCAGAGGTAATCTTTAGCAAAGGGGCATTTAAAATAATATACATTTTAATGAAACAGCAAGGACAGGTAGGTTTGGCTAGCTTACATATGACATATTTTGTGTATTTCAGACCCCATGTCCTATTAGTCAGAGGTATTAATATCAAACAGGGGCATTTAAAATAATATACATTTTAATGAAACAGCAGGGACAGGTAGGCTTGGCTAGCTTACATATGACATATTTTGTATTTCAGACCCCATGTCCTATTAGTCAGAGGTATTAATATCAAACAGGGGCATTTAAAATAATATACATTTTAATGAAACAGCAGGGACAGGTAGGCTTGGCTAGCTTACATATGACATATTTTGTATTTCAGACCTCATGTCCTATTAGTCAGAGGTAGTCTTAGCAAAGAGGAACATTTCAAGTTTAATTTGTAGTGAAACAGAAAGCACAGGTAGCCTTGACTAGCTTACATATGACATATTTTATATTTCAGACCCCATGTCCTATTAGTCAGAGGTAATCTTAGCAAAAGAGGGGCATTTAAAGTATAATTTGTAGTCAAATAGAAAGCACAGGTAGCCTTGGCTAGCTTAAAAAATGACATATTTTATATTTCAGACCCCATGTCCTATTGCAGATATTCTTGGAGATAAGGGACATTTAAAGTAACATGCTTATAAATGAAACAGCAGGCACAGCTAGGCTTGGCTGGCTTAAACAATGACATATTTTGTATTTCAGAGCCAATGTCCTACTAGTCAGGGGTTGTAATAAAAAAGGGGTATTTAAAATAACTGACATTTTAGTGAAACAACAGGCTCAGGTTCAACTGGCTGGCTTAAAATGATATATTAAGTGTTTCAGACCCCATAGCCTACTAGATAGAGCTTAAAAAATGACATATTTTGTATTTCAGAGCCAATGTCCTACTAGTTATGAAAAAAGGGGCATTAAAAATACCAGGAAATATAGTGAAACAACAGGAACAGGTTCGTTTAGCTAGCTTAGACATAAGCCCATTTCTATATATCAATAATGAGCCATTTTGTATTTTAGACCCCATGTCCTATTCGTCCTAACAAGTGAATGTTTATGATGGCACTATAAGCAGCACCTTCATTGCCCACACTGCTGCAATGCCTCCTATCACTGTGCTGTGTATGTGTTCTACCCCAGCCCTGTCTGATGGAAGGAGATTATATGGGAAGATAATAAACAATATGCTGAAAACGTCTCTATTATCTTTCTGGATGTGACTCTCTATGGAAAGGCTCCCTTCAGAACTGCATAGATGCATTTGCACAGAATGTTAAAGGGGGGCAGTCAAAGTACACAGCTGCATCTGACCAGCCTGCATAGCAATGACACTCTCTAAAGAAATTATCTGATGTCCAAATCGATATTAATACGGCATTTGCTGCATTACAATATTGTGCACATTTAAGAGCCATTTAATGCAATGGAAATGTCCTCCCCCCCCACCCCCAAGCATGCCAGCCAGCCATGGAGCTGGGGGTTGCTGTAGGAGCTGGGCCTTGCCATCTTTGTGTAGGGGCTGATCCTGCCTTATTTATGTACCGAATAAGATCGCATTTATAGAAATCACTCAATCAATATTGCAGTAAGAAAAAAAATGTATCGCTTGGCATAATTAAAGGCGAAGCAAGGGTGACCTTAAATGCATTTCAAATAGCAGCGTGCTTTTTTTCCCCCCATCCTAGGCTTTGTTTACATGTGGCAGCCTAGCAAGCTGCTGCCTTCATTCATCTCTCATTAAAAATGTCTTGTTCCTGTAATAGACACAGTTTAAAGGGCTGCCTTCCTGATTACCTCTGAGATTGCTTTTTTTTAAAAAGAAAATCTACTGGGTAAAAATAAAAAATAATCATAAAAAATATTCTGTACATGTATGCATGCATGGAGTCGGTGCCTGCTCTCAATTTGCTGTATTTTCAGACAATCTGTTAAATATTTAATAGGAGTATGGTTTCCATAGCAAAATGATTTATAACTGGAAATTGCGCTGGTGGGTTTTTTTTTTTCTTCCTTCTACTGCCTTTATAGATCAGAAATGATCTGAAGCACACTATCAGCAGCCGGTGGAAGGGCTTCATGAGGACAATAATAGTGGGGCTGATCTTTGCTTATAATATTTGGATGGAGTATCTCTGCAAACACACACATATATATATATATATATATATATATATATATATATATATATATATATATAATATATATATATATATATACACAGGGCCTCCTGGATGTTAAGTGCAACCTTGGGCTCTCTGTTAAAGCACCCCATCCTCAGTGATGGCAGAGGAATGCCTTGTTTTGTGGGGGTGAGCTATGGTGGAGGAAACATTCCAGCTGGGATGTGATTGCTGCCAACATGAGATTGGGATGGGGGGGTGATGTACAGTATGTGTGTGCAGTGGCCCCACCACCAGCCCAGGCTGTCTACTTACCTGATGTGAACAGGACGATGGCTTTGAGGCAGCTGTATTCTGCAGAGTCTACATGCAAGGCCTTGAGCTTCTCCACCTGCTCCTGAAAGATACGGATGTGGTCCATAAAGGCCACCACTCGGTCGGCCGACATTGGGGAGGCATGGAGGCCAGCGGCGGCCAGTAGAGGGGCTACATGGAGAGGCATGGAGCACTGGGCTGCATTGAGCACAAACAGCTCACTCCAAGTCAGCCGGAGAAGAGACACCTGGTCGGTGATCTGAAGGTCGGGGAAAAAAAAAAAAAGGGATATTCCTGGCCCATTCCACAGCACTGAACAGTAACCGGGCCGCCAGCTCGCAGATGTTCTCGATGCCCATGATGTTGTTGGGTTGCATGCACTGGCTGCCATAGCGGGACGTGGGGTAGGGCTCAGCCCGCAGGAGGAGAGAGATGTATCCCGACAGATAGCAATGGCCGTTCAGGGGGTCCCCATTCGTCAGGGCATACTGGCCTGGGTTCGGTTGTGTTGGAGGCATTCGTCCTCGCTGAACCGCTGACAAAAACCACCACAACACAAAACAAAAACCAAAAAACACAAAACACCCCAAACCAAAAAACAAACACCCACAAAAAAAAAAAAAAAAAAAAAAAAACCACAACACCAAAAAAAAAAAAAAACCAAAAAAAAAACACCAAACACCAAAAAATCACAAAAAAACACAACAACCACCATAACACCAAACAATCACCATAAACAAAACAATCACCATTACACACCCAACAATCACCATAATACAAAACAATCACCGTGACACACCAAACATTTCACCATAATACAAAACAAAACACCAAAACACACCAAACAATCACCAAACACACCAAACAATCACCATAATACAAAACACAACCACTAAAACAAAACAATCATCAATTCAGTTCATTGCTCAGCTTTGGGATTCTGGAAATGTCAGGATATGGTTAAAGAAGAAGAAGAATAAAATAGAACTTACAATAGTTAAACATTGTGGGAATTAATTCCTCAGCCAGCCAATTATTACAGGTAGTAATGCTTCGTGTGTGTGCAAGGCATACTATGAGGGCTGGCACACTGAGTGCCCACAGCTTAGATGCAAAACGCTGTATTCATTAACTACACGGGAGCTGAACGTAAGCAAGCTTATTTATGCTTCAACTTGGTAAAGCTGACCAAAGTCTGATTTTTTTTTGGATGTGAGCTTATGTTTGACTCCAGAAGTGCCAGCTAGCTCGCCATGTAAACAAGAAGTTTAACACACAACATGGCACACTTTGCTGTTTACATTTTCCCACAGAAATTGGCAGCTTGAGACTATGTCACCTCTTCCATAAATCAGACAATTTTTATCTTTGCTGATCCAGGGTGACATTAATCTTTTGCTGATCCAGGATGACATCCTTCCAGTAGCTATGGCCGTGATCTCCCACTTTTATTGATAAACATACAATTAGCTATCACACACAGCAGCTATATTGGATGCATTCTTGTAGTTTCAAGTGACTATTATTGAAGTTTCTGAGGTTGCATTACAAGGTTTGGGAGAAGCTGCATTTCTGTTTTTTTTTAGCAGGAGGATAATTCAAAGTGATCTAGATTTGTTATGGATCCAATTTTGGCCATCAGTGACAATTTTGAGCTGAAAGGGGAACATTTGTAGTTTTGTAAATGGGATGCTGAGTCAAGGAACAAGGAGACAAATATATCCTAGTGAATTTCTCAATGGCTCATTAATGATGCTGTAAACCCCCCCCCCCCCCCCCCCCCAAATAAAAATGTATTCTTAGCTGTGCAGAGAGGGGTGGACGTTTTACAGCATGAGAATGGATGGCAGAGGAGCAGGAATGAAGTCATGTATAACACAGAGCTGCCAGCCAAACTTCTCCCAGGGAGTGTGACAAGGCCAAATGGTGCCTGGGACAAGGGGCAAGGGCTGCTGTCAGCTCACAAGGTGCTGTGGATGGTGGAGGGGCACATCTCACCAACATCCACACACACAACACACACAGGGGAGAGCTCCCAGTATTAAAACTAAAAATTTAGGGGGGGGGGCAGCAAATGTGGAGGCATGACTATTGGGACAGGCAGCTAGACACAGACATGTGCAGAGAAGAAATATTCACCTTCCCTCCTCATGCCCACTTTCAGGCACTTCTTGAGCCGGCAGTACTGGCACTGGTTCCGGTGGTGCTGGTCTATGGGACAGTTCCTATTGGCACGACATGTGTAGGTTAAGTTCCTGCGGACGCTCCTCTTGAAGAAACTTTTGCAGCCCTCGCAGGTGAACTGGCCGTAGTGCTTGCCGCTGGACTTGTCCCCGCACACCACGCACTCGATGTGCTGCTGGCTCTGGCCTGAACCCGGCTGCCCCTTGTCCCCGGCCGCACCCGGCGTGGACGGGGGTCCCGGCTGGCTGGGGGTCTGCGGCGTGTGCGGGGCGGCGGAGGGAGCCTGCTGCTGCTCCCTGGCCGGGTTCGGGCCTCCCGGATTCCCCCCGCCGGCCACGTCCTCCTGCGGATCTCTCCAGCTGCTAACTACCATTGCCATATCTCGGGCCCAAAAAGTGCTGGAGAGCGAGGCGTGGGGGGGCTTGATCTTGGAGGAGGAGGAGGAGGAGGAAGAGAAGAAGAAGCTGGCCGTCTCTGCCGTGGTTGCCGCTGATGGGAGCCGTTTCCTTGGATGGGCTTTGCAGGGATTTCCCCCCCTTGCTTCCTAAAGAGCGGAAAAAAAATGTGGCCGATGTGTGTGTGCCGATGGCGGCTCTCTGTGCCCCCCCTCTCTTCTCCTAGTCGTGTCTCCAGTGCCGGCTGGAGGAGGGAGCAGCAGTCTGATCAGACACAGGGCTTGTCAGCCCCGATCTCCCATATAGGACGGCCAGGGGCAGGACCAACGTGGCTCAGCTTCTCCTGACCCCACAGTGCGGAGCCGGCGGGGTGGAGGGGCGAGGAGGATGGGAAGACAAAAAATAAAAAGAGAGCCGATCAGGGATTGTAAGTGTCCGGGGGCCAAATCCAGGGCAGGAGAGCCATTCAGGAGGAAGAAAAGCTGGACGATCCAGAGGTGGCACACACTTCACCTTTTGTCTTTTCTTTATGATGTCAAGAAGAAGAAGCCTCGATGTGTCATTAAGGTCATAGAAAGTGATGAAAAGAACATTCCAAAAAAAAAAAAAAAAAAGTCAAAGTCTATCCTGAGAAGAAAAAAAAAAAAACAGGATTCAGCTCATCGGGACTCAGCTTCGGCTTTATTGTCAAGTCCAAGTCTGCAGGGAGGAAGAAAGTCGCTGGAGGCTGGAGGCGGCTGCTGCTGCTGCTGCTGCTGGAGGTTCCTCTTGGATGGGAAGAAGAAGGAGCCCAGTGCTGGTTGGAGGTTCTCTGGTTGGAATGGAAGTGGAAGAGGTAAGGGGGGAAAAAAAAAAAAGAAAAAAAAGGAGCACAAAAAAGGAGCACACTCACACAGACAGCTAATAGAATATGCAATAAAGAGAGAGAGGGAGAGGATGGCGGGGATGGAGAGAGAGAGAGAGGGAGAGCGAGCCACACACACAAAAAATGAATGCGTTTAAACGGGAAGCCTAGCAGAGCAATGTTTCCGAAAGGGGGATCTGCGCGAATGTCTGTATATAGTGAACTTTGACACTACTATTGAAACTGACACGTTTCTATGGAGATCGCTGCCTTATATGGAAGCTCATGTCAAGGAGCCAAGCGAGGGGCTGCTGGCAACTGATAATCAAAGGCGACTGACTGGTCAGAGCCCTGAATCGGGGGGAGAAGAGATGGGAGGTTAAGGTTAGCCCCGCCCCTCTTCACCCCATTGGTCGGATGCAGGCTGCCTCTTTTTTTTCTTCTTCCTCCCTTTCTCTCTCTCTCCCTCTCTCTCTCCATTGCCTTGTTACCTATGGCTGGAAGGAAGGAGGGAGGGAAGGGGGGTGACACAACGCTCTCTGTTCATTCACAGCGCCCCTAGCCGCTGCTATTCTTAGCAGGGGGATCACTACTCTGTCATAGGGGGACAAACTTGCTTTGGGTTGCATTGGCAAACTTCAACAGACTGCAGAATGCAATAAAAAGTCCTAACACTGAAGACACAAGGCAGGGCCGGGGAGGTGTAGTCACCTGGAATACAAAGTTTGCCTGATCCAGCAGAGAGGGAGGGAGAGAGAGCCATCCCCATACTTGTTAATGGAACAATGATCAGCTCTGTTATGTGTGCTGTCTGCAGGGAGCGATGCTTTGCTGAGTCCCGGGGAGAGCCGGCAATTGCTGGAGCCGGCTGCCACCTAGCGTACACTGAGCGCTGTGTATGTACGGCAGCCAGCTCCCGGCATGGGCACCAGCAGCAGGATCCTCATACACCTTCCACCACTGCCAGACTACAGCTCCAACTTCCCTCTCCTCCTCCTCCCGGGGCCAAAGTGTCTGCTAAATGATCAGCAACATCACACCCCTCCATACATGGACTAGTCATCCTCATCCCCAACTAGAGGACAAGTAATACCCCCCCCTCTGTATACAGGGTGATGGGGGAAGGGCAGTCTGAATCCATTACTGACACTTTCGGATCATTTCCAACCGAATAGTTAACGGTTATTTCTTCCCAGAAATAATGAAGAGATTTTCAATGGGTGCACGGCCAAGCGCCCCCATTGTACGGCCATTGATAGGAAGGATGTTATTGACTATGCAAGAGTGGGCTGCAGTGGCGGCCCCCAATAAACTCTCCCTCCTGTCCCCCGGCCACAGCAAAGGTGAAACGAATACGATTAAAGCAGACAAAAAGATAACTCCCTGCCCATCACTTACATTGTAGTCGGGGCTGTGAGGAGGCGCACTGACAGGAGGCTGAGCCGCTTCCATCCACACACACCACACAGGGACTGGACGACACAAGGCTGCACGAAGAGCCGCGATCAGCCGTCCTCCCCGGAGCGCCGCACAGCCCGCGGACCGCACAGCGACCAATAGCCGCGGCTGCTGCCTATCAGGAGCGACCCACCGACCGACAGACAGACAGAGGGGATCCCTACTCACATCCTCATCACTCCCATCCTGGCTGCTGCTGCCGCTCTCTCCCTCTGCAGGTACTATATACACCACAGCTTCAAGTACACCGCTCACTCTATACACACTTTCCTGGAGAAGGGGTGCACTTCAATTTTACTTTTACTTGGTTCTAGAGAACAAATGTCCCTCACATACACACCGATCTTTATGGATTTTTTGGGGGGTCGTGTCTGTGCACAGTATGAATACGTGAATATTCACCTGATTTACTATACATATATACTTTAAAGGGTGTGCACTTTATTTTTACTTTACTTGTTTATATAGGGCAAGTGCCCCCCCCCCGCCCCCACACAGTTCTTTGTAGAAAAAAATGTATCTGTGTGCAATATGCACATGTGAATGTACACCTGATTTACTATATATATATATATATATATATATATATATATACATATATACTCACACTTTTCTGAAGAAAGGGGTGCACTGGATTTTTACTTTACTTGTTTGTAGAGGGAAAGTCCCCCCACATACAGACAGATCTTTGTAGAAAAAAAAAAATTGTGCCTGTGTGCAATATGCATATGTCAATGTACACCTGATTTAATATATATATATATATATACATTTTTTCTTTTATATATATATATATATATATATATACACACACTTTTCTGAAGTATGGTAGTGCACTTGATTTTTACTTTACTTGTTTGTAGAGGGCAAGTCCCCTCCCCCCCACCCTCAAATTTTTTATCTTTGTAGAAAAAAAAAAATGTGCCTGTGTGCAATATGCATATGTGAATGTGACTGTACACCTGACTCATGACTTACTATATATATATATATATATATATATATATATATATATATATATATATGTATATATATATATATATATATTCACCTTTCTGAAGAAAGGGAGTGCACTTGATTTTTACTTTTCTTGTTTATAGAGGGCAAGTGCCCCCCCCCCCAACACAGTTATTTGTAGAAAAAAATGTGCCTGTGTACAATATGCACATGTGAATGTACATCTGATTTTAAATATGTATATACATACATACATACATTTTTTCCTTGCACTTACTTTGTAGAGTGCACGTGCCCATACACACACACATCTTGGGAGAAAAAAAAAATCTTCTGGTAGTTGCAAATATACTTGATATATATTTTTTATATAACTGTTTTCCTCAAGGGGGGGGGGGTGTTAATTTGATTTGTACTTTTACTTTGCCTGTTTGTAGAGTGCAAGAGCACACACACACATAAATCTTTGTAGAATACATTGTGGGTTGTGTGTGTGTGTATATATATTTTTATTGTACTTTTTTTTCTCTTTTTTACTTTTACCTTGTAGAGTGTATGAGCCCATACACATACATCTTGGGAAAATGGGGGGAAAAAAAAACCTATGGGCTGTGTCTCTCTGTATATGCAGTTACATTATGTACATGGGCTGTGTCTCTCTGTATATGCAGTTACATTATGTACATGGGCTGTGTCTTTCTGTATATGCAGTTATATAAATTGTTGCAAGTCCAATATATGTGTATATATATATATATATATATGCTCTTCTGGGGGTCTGAATTGCTTGTAGAATGCTAGTGCCCTAACACACACACACACTATAGACTATTAATAGATGAGTATAGAAATGTTTGATTATTTTGTGTTTAAATTGAATTGCACATATTACACTTGGGTATTAATATGTACTTTTAAAAAGTAGCAATTTACTCAAGGTTTCTAAGTGTTTCGTTAAACAGTACAATTTCTATTTTCTACAGAATCCCCTGAACCTGACTGGATAGTAGACAGGAACAGCTTATGCTAGAGGGGGAAAAACTCTTTAGTAACTCAGCCCCAACCCCCCTTCTCACTTTCTATACACATACGTACTATTTCTATATATTTATACAATACAACAAATATAGCCAATAGGCAATAATATAAGACAAACACACATATATTTTACCTTGAGAATTGATTCTTCCCCACCATGTGTTGGGGCCCTAGGGCCTGACCAGATAGCACAGTCCTAGCTAGATGAGCTGAATATATCTATGTTTTCCATGTTTCAGTAATTAGTGCAAGGGACATAACTGACTTGAAACAAATGAGGACATTTACCAATGACCCCAACACTCACCTGCATTCTACTGTTTGGCCACCAAATGTAGAGATCAATGAAGGACACATTATCAGTTTGATAGTGTCAACAGATAAATGATGGAGGCAGATATACATGGAGGAGTGAAAGGGGGACACATGCTGACTATTTTCATTGTTACTCTTCTTTTTTTTTTTTTTTTACTATTGTTTGTATGGTGATGTTATGATGTTTTTGCTGTGTCATTCCATACATGTGCTCTTCTATTACAGTGAACCTGCACAGGGGCTGCTCACTGATTGTGTAATGTACTCCATACACACTGTTTACCCGGGGATGACAAACCTAAATATAGGCATAAAAGTTAAACATTAATCCAGTCTTGCTATGACCCCTGGCTTCAGTGTGTCCCCTTTAAC